ATAGATAGATAGATAGATAGATAGATAGATAGATAGATAGATAGATAGATAGATAGATAGATATCACACACACACAAGTTTGCACAGCTATCTAATTGGGGACGTTCCATTGACTTCCATTACATTTCTACAGCCTAACCCTGACCACAAACCCTAAAACTAACCTAAACTCACTTCACATCTTGGTCCTAAACCCCAACCCACCAATGGCATTTAAACCAAATGGGGACTCGACTTTTGTCCTCAAATGCACAAATTGTCCCCAAATGTAGGCATTTTGTCTTAAAATTGCCCCCAAATGTCACCAGAAACAACCCCCCAACACACACACAAACACACATGCATCATCAAAGGGCAGCAGCAGCAAAAGTGATTTATCAGCCAGAGGTGCAGCTGATTGGAGTTTTACAGTAGTCTGCAGGAGAACAGGTGAAGTGAAATCTATTACAGCTGATAAAAACATGCCTAATTAGAACACAGAGTCTAAAACTGATTATATAAGAAACAAAATGAACCAAAAAGGATCATTTAGAGACAATAAGAACAGAAAAAAATCCACCAATGACTAAAAAAGAGAAAATTGACCAAAATGTATTTTATGCTAATTTTTAAAGTATACAGTAGTAAGCTGGATGGAGAATGGACTTTGTAAATCGCAGTTACAAATCTTACAAAACGTGTAATTGTGCCCCACCCTACTCTTGTTTAGAAAAGTAAATTCGCTGTCCCATTTTTCAAGATATTTACACAAAGTCTTAACTTTTTTTTTGGCAGGAACACCTTCTCTCTCGCTACATTCATCCATCTCTGATTTGTTTTTCCAGGGTTTGTTCCCGCCACCAGCACTGCTGCGTTCAGTAGTCATAGGAAGTGGTAATTTCCCAGTTCCCATTGGTAGATTTAAACTGGAATGCCCCCTCCAATGGCACTTGTATAGTGGAAAAAATGAAACTGCCCCCAGTTTCGATTTCAAGATGGCGGCTACTTGCAGCTTTAGAAATTTAACTCCGTAACTTTTACTGTTAATTATCTTTCTTAATTTTTTGTGCGTGTTTACTCACTCGCACAAGTAGTGTGTTTTCTGTGCAATGCTGTACTTATTAAAATCAATGTTTATTTGCATGACGTATGTAGTAGTAGTTTTTGTCATTGTTTATTTAGCAGTGTTGTAGCTAGTTTAGCGACAATAATACAATCGCCTGTTAGCTAACTGGAATGCAGTTTCACATGGTCTGTTGGGAAATGACGTCACTACCATTTACCAGTTCCGGGAATACAATGCAAATAGAACACAGCATAACATCGCGAGAACTGCCACCTGCAGGCGGCAGTTCTTGCGAGGCTAGTTACATAATTCAGAGGCACTGGAATGTTTTTTTTTAAATAACATTATAATACGGGAAATTTCTGGGAAAATATTAATTCGGGATGACGACGGGAAAGAGTCGTAAAATACGGTAGTGTCCCAGCCAAAACGGGAGACTTGACAGGTATGCTTTGTGGTTTTTATAAAAACTCTCCTAACATTCAGTCCATCAGCTTTAAAAAAAACAAAAATGGTGTTTTATTTTAAACAAAATGATTTATTTCTGATGTAAAGTTAAATCACTTTGACTTTAACAGATTTAGTATACTTCTGTGCCTCCAGCTGCTGCTTGTTAGCTGCGCTTCAGCTCCGCTTGGGACTGACGCAAGACTGTGTAACAGGATTAATATTGTATATGATTCCACTTGTCATCACATTTTATTTGGGTTATGTATAAGAGGTAGAACAGCGCCCTCTCTTGGTGGTTCGGTGTAATAAGTATAGTGGACATGAGAACCACGTTGCAGTTTTAAGAGATGGGCAYGAGGTAGGTGTATTAGCATTAGCTCTGTGATAAAATATTCTGTGCATTTAACTACTGTCCATTAAATGATAGTTGGTTAACAGTAAGGCGTGTTTATGTTACTTGGGGTTTTCATGAGTTTCATATTATACGTTTTATGAGTTTAATGTCATTGTTTTTTTGATAAGAGCACATCTGAAAATGTCCGCTAGCTTAATGCTAATCCAAGATACTATTCCTCATAAGGTGCTGTACCTGCTGTGAAAGCCCATGATTTGATCGGTGCCTGTTCTGTTTTATACAGATTAAACTGCGTCAAAGTTCGCCTCGTCTCCTGGCCATCTTTTAAACACAATGCAGAAATAAACTATACGGAGAAACAGAAACAGAACGGGTTTACTTTTATTTGGACCGAGTTGGACTAAGTTACGGCCAAGTTCAACGCGGTTACAACTGCGTGATGACGTAATTAACCGGCTGCGCGCTGTGGCATCCTGTTATGCACTGTTACTCGTGTGCTAGGGAGTGTTGGGGACTTCAGTGCACCGGAAGTCCTTTAACGCGCGCTCCAGCTACGAAGTAACAGATTGTGACGTCAGCAGTGCTTTGAACTACGTCTTCTGATATAGCTAGCTTCAATCAAACCATTTTTCGTTTGACAGCAGATGAGTTGTTAGCATTTTTGAAGACAATTCAAAAGCATATTTTGAAGAACTAATTTTGAACATATATTTCCACTTGTTTAAGAAATATTTTGATTTTAAGTCATCAAAAACTTGCAAAGGATTTGGAATGTGCTCTGCCAGAGAGATACCATACATCGACTCCTTTCAAGAAAAAGGTTTTGAAATCAATTAATCTCCTTAAAAAATGAAAAGATCAATCATATCGTGTTTCCATTGGATTCGACAGACTTTCTTCTCACAGGGTGAAATATTTCATATTGACATCAATTTGGCAAAAATAAAAATACTGACTTTTCCCTTTTGCGCTCCAATTATGTTGTGTTATAATATTTTTAAATATTTTCTAACCACCTTCAGAAAGATTTTAAATCGACTGACTTCCATCTGTTAAAAAAGGGATAACTCGTCCCTTGCCCCAAATGTTTCTGAAGGAACCAACACAACTGGGGAACCTAAGAATACACAGCTGGATGGAGCACCTGAGGAAAAGATTCATGTTGGACCTGAATTTGAAGGAGAATCTCTGGAACATGGACAAGCAGATTTAGGACCAGAATCCAAATTTCAAGATAAATTTGGCTAATCACTCAGTGGCACACTCTCTGAGAACCAGAACCTTGTAATCGGTTGTTCCATAATCAAAAATGTAAAACTAGAGACACCAGCGGCCACAGTAATATGTTTACCAGAAGCGACAGCAGGCAACATAGAATCTCACCTGAAACTCTCCAACCTTCTGTGGTATTTCGTTTTTTATTTTTTTTATTTTTTTTCGTTTTAAAGGTAACGTGACCCCTGCTGGTTGCCGCATGACCTGCTCACCTGTTCCCCCACGTTTTTGCCATGTGTGTCTTCTTGAATGGATGTTCTTAAATATACAATGACAATAAAGGCACAATCAATCAATCAATCAATCAATCAATCAAACAGCTGGCTAATTCGGATGTTAGATACAACAAGATCATTATTCATGTCGGCATAAATTATGCTCGCTTATGCCAAGTGGAAATCCTTAAGTCTAATGTTGTTTCCTTGTGTCAATTAGCAAAAGTTATGTCAGACTCCATGTTTTTTTCTGATCCGATCCCTGACCAGAGCTGTGATGAAATGTTTACCCATTCATTTAAGTTCAACAGCTGGCTATCCAAGTGGTGCCCTAATAACAGTGATTTACATAGCAAATTATAGTGCATTTTGGAAAAATCTTGATCTGATTTGTAGAGATGGCACCCATCCCACTTTTCTTGGAGCTGCACTCCTTTCTAGAAATTTGACCAGTAATTATTGAGGGGAAACAAAGAATTCATGATCTGGACCTATATTTAAGAGAAAATGACACTTTGATCGATGGACTGGATACAAAATATCAAACATAATGGCAGAGCTTTAGCAACAAACAGGGTGAAGCAAGTTGGAGAACTTGAAACATTGAAGCAACAGATTGTAAAAATTTTTGAAAGTAGAGACATATTCATCAGGAGTAGCCACATCAAAGCCTGTCATAGACTCCTTAAAGAAGGCAGGACAAGAATACCTACTATAATAGTATTATTCTGGAACAAGGAATATACATCTGTTATTTAAAAACTTATATAAACTTAAGTGTACTAAGATGAACATAAATGAGCACTTGACTCCTAAAAATGCAAACATAAACAGACATGCATTTTATCTCAAAAAAAAAAAAAAAAACAGAATTAAAGCAACATGGACCAGAGATTGTGAGGTGTGGTTACAACCCAGTGATGGAACCAAGGCTGCAGTTGAAAAAATGTCTCAGTTTCTCTGAAACTCCCACCACATACGGAATGAGGACTGGTTTGGGTCTGGGTTTAGGGTCTTCATTTTCAGCTGGTTGTTGTCTGGAATCCTGTTTGGGTTTCTTGTCTGCTTTCAGAAAAGCCCAGTTAGGATAACCACACTGCTCCAGG